GGCGAAGGCGTGGGTGTCGGCTGAAACGGCTGCTTCGGAGGTGGGGACCTGGAGGGAAACGAAGCCGGGATACCCCCCCTACCCCCCCCCCCCACCCCCCCCCGCGTTTTGGGGCTGTAAGGGAGAAAGGAAGAGGGTTTTCACCCTCTCCGCCTTCGGCAACCATCCAACACGCCCCCCAAGGTCGGCGGATTATCCTAAACCCTGAACCCTAAACTCCAAACTCGAAACCCCAAACCCTAAGGGTTCTGTAGGGTTCTGGACATTATGGTAATCGATCCTTATGGAGGAATAAGACGAATCTCGGGCTTCTTTATGTACATTGTGGCAGGGTTTGCCGCAGCATCTCCTCATGAGAAAGCGAGAGCAGTGCCATCTTAATACCAGGGTGAGTGTAGCGAGTCGAAATGGAGGCCCCGCGGGGGGGGAGTGTGGGGAGGTTCTTGAGGATAGCCCGGAGATAAGCTATGCAGAACCCCGAGCCCTAAACCGTGTTGAAATATTGTTCCGTACAGACTAGATGGGACACCTTCCAGCACTCCGCATTTCATGATCTACGCTCCCCCAATTAACATGGAAACCCATACGAGCTCTAAGTAGTCCAAACTCCTGAAAGGGGGTTATACAGGGGAACAGTATAGGTGTTATTAATGGGGATATTAGGAGTTTAGACTAAGGCTCATAGAGCCCTCCTGTTTAAAGGGACTGTAGTCTTTAATTATAGGGCCCTTTTAACGTTTCCATGTTAGTTTTCGGCAGGGTGGAGCACGTAAGTCCTGTCCCCAGAGGCCATATGCGACTTCTGTTGAGCTTCTAGTCCTCCCAAGGTTTAGGGTTTATAGGGTTTGGGGCTTACAAGAGAATCAAAACTATAGCCACCCTTAAGTAGATAGACTATGGTGTATATGGGGATCTTATTACAATATACCCAAAGCCATATTCTGCAGTATCTACTTAAGGAGGACTATAAATGCATGGGCCAGCTCTTCTATAGCAGGCTGAGAATGTTGCAAGAGCCTGCTTGGAGGCTCCTGGGTAGTGATAGCGCAGGATCACAACAGCTATACTTGTTGCAGTTTAAACCCTAAACCCTAATCCGCGGACTACGAACTGCCCATGAATCTCCAAATAGAGCTTGGGAAATCCGAAGCAAAAACCCGCTGGCCCTTGCAGGTAGGATGTGCGCTTTTTCTAAACTCCTGAAAAAAAGGTTGTATAGGGGATTATATAGCTAGGGGATTGCTTTGGTGGTTATTAAGGGGGATACTGGGAGTTTAGACTATAACCCCTATAATCAAGTACATAATCCCAGTTTCCGTTTCATGCTCAATGTTATTTTCTATTAGATTCTGCATTGTTGGGGGATAATAGCCCAACATAACCCATTCTATAATGTCTTTATACATTACCCCAACAAGAATATAGTAGCTTCCATTTTCTTTTTCCATTATCCTTAGATGGTGGTTTCAGAAAGTAAGGGGACCCCAAGGCAGACCTCCAGATAAAATAATGATTATGATGGCAATCCCAAAAAAAGTACCCCTAACTTGGGAAAACCGCCATAATATATTATGTTAAGATCTTTTTTTGCTTTTGGGGTCTTCGCTCTGCACCGTCAGCTCCCTGCCCTGCACACCCCAAGCCGTACACCAAACCCACGAAACCCTAAGCCAAGGCTTCTCGGATTTAGCGTTCAGGGGCTTAGGGATTTGGGTTTAGGGATTAGGTTTAGGGTCTTATTGGCTTAAACCTGAATCCTAAACTCACAATTCACGCCATTCGCACTTTTTGAAATGATGCAGATTACTGCTTCGACCTTCCTGGGCCATATTAAATCCTGGAGAAATTAGAAGTAGTGCTCTTTGAGGTTCATCACAAAAACATTGTATACCTCAAGTATACCTGACTACCGTAATTGACCTGTTAAGGCTCTGTTTTGAAGATCATGGGCCGAATCATGGGGGTGACCCCTTCCTCAAACACCTTGCGCGTTGACTTCAGTGTTGAAGGATCAGAGAGCGAAAGTTGGCAAAGTTTATTCGCTGGGGCCCCGCGAGACTTGACTGCCTTCTGGCTAGCCTTGTGCCGCTGCGGTTGTCCGGGTTGCTCATGAGGGCAAAGACCAGGTTAGCATAAATGGGTCAGATGGTAAATGAGCTCTCAGCCTGACCATGGTAGCTTAACTTCAGTTCCGTCACAGTACCCAGATCCATTTTTAAGGCTTGGTGATGTAATTGTGAGGTGGTCTGGCTTCTAGACTGGTATAGAGCTTAGAAGAGGTCAAAACCTCACCTGGACCCCACAAGTAGGCAAAATAATAGCCCAAACCCCTAAACATCAACCAAAAGGCAATTATTCTACATACTTTTGGAGTTCAGGTACTCTTCACGGTCACTTGGGATTCTCCAGAACAAGGCGGATCTCGTAGTCCCGTGTTTGGGATACTGATGTAACGAACTCTACGCGGCAGGCTATCACTTCATCTGTACCATAGTTTAGTATATTATATTAGAGTATGTTAGAATAAAATATCGTATATTCTAGCATATCACAGTATAGAATTATACAGAACACTCTGAGAGCATGTGCTGTAATTATGCAGCTTCTCCAGATTCTCCAGATATTTTCGAAATACAACACTCTTGGCGGAGGGGGAAGGAACTGAACCCTTTCTGGTAGCCCTTAAGCATTATAAGCATTCAAGTTTCAGCCTCAACCTGGCCTTGACCTGTTTGTTCGAACCCTAAACCCTAAACAAACTCTAAACCCTAAACCCCAATCCCTAAACTCTAAACCTTAAACCCCCAATCCCTAAACTCTAAACCCTAAAGCCCTATCTCTAAAACCAGAGCAGCCTAGGAGTATCCAAGTTGCACTCTCCCGGCAGAGTCCCTACCTGCAGCAGGCACACAAGGCCCTCGACTGCCCTTCGTTGATGGTAGTGTCCCTAGATGGAGACCACCCCGAATGCACCCCCCCCCAAAAAAAAGAACCTTAGTAGGCTTTAATAAGCTCCATATAGTTTTCATTAGCTCCTTAAACCCTTGGGGTGTGCATTCGGGGGGGGGCTTGTATTGCAACCCCTAATCCCCAAATAATTTGCGTCCCGACTATAGGGGCCCAAAAAATGGTACCCCTGATTTTGGGAATCTCCTTAGTTAGTGATAGCAAGAGTTGTGGTCGGATTGATCGTGGTCGTCTGGATATGCAGTTGGAGTAGCAGGCTATGATAATGCAGTCGTAGTAGCAGATGCAATGCCAGTAGCAGCAGCGGTATTAGTAGAATGAGTAGTTGCAGGAAGCTGTCGCAGCAGCAGCAGCGACGGCGGAAGGGGGCAGCAGGTGCTGTCGTAGTCGTCGTTGTCATCGTCATCGCCATGGTGTGCTGGTCATACTTGTGGTCATAGTCGTAGTCATAGTCGCAGTGGCGTCAGTGGTGGCTGCAGCAGTGGTGGTGTTGACACCACGCACACAGCCTTGTTTGGTCCTAGGCTATCTGCAATGGGGAAGCACCATGGTGCGTGTTCAGGGCCCGCTGAAAACGTGTCTGCCTCCCCAACCTCAGAACAAGAGCAGCTGCATGGCTAAAGTAAGGGTAGGACATTCATTTTCCGTAGTTTTGTTGGTTTCACGTTTTCGTGCTTTTCTGGTTTTGAGGGGCTGGGTGGGTACGGGGAGAAAAACAGAGAGAAAAGTAAACAAAAACACGACATAGAAAAAGTGAGTGGGGTGCCGCCTATAGAAGATGAAGGGAAGAAAGAAAGGAAGGAACACGAGAAAGAAAGGAATGAACAAAAGAAGGAAGGGAGGAAGGAAGGAAGGAAGGCAGGCAGAAGAGGAAGGCATAAAGAAGAACAAACCAACCACATACAAAAGAATAAATAAATAAAGACAGGAACAGATGGAAGGAATAAAGGAAGACAAAAACAACAACACAAAAGGACACAAACACAGAAGAAGCTGCTGCACCCCGCCGCCCCCCAAGCCCTCCGCTTCTTGAAGCCGCACAAGCGGTTTAGGGTTTAGGGTTTAGGGTGTAGGGTTTAGGGTTTAGGGAAAGAGACTCGTCCCAGCATCCCAGCAACGTGTTTTCAAGAGGTTGACTTCAACCCCGGCAGCATGTCATCCAATCATTCTGCTTGCAAACTGGGAGG